AGTCGAGATCTAAAGTCAATTGAGTTCTACATCCCACGGAAGAACTGGCATGTCGCTCAACCCACATTCCAGTTAAGAATCCCACCAAACAATGCGATTTAGTTCACAGTGTGCAGGGTTCGACTTAAAAGTCCTAAAATTATTTTATAATCAACTCCATGTCAATAAAAACGACGCTGACATAGAAATTCACAGCTACTCATCGAATAGTTAATTTATCATGTAGATTCGAGAGCTTTTGCCGAATTCGCTTTGGAATTGAGAAGTTTCCAAACTTTTGACGCCATTTCTTATAAAAATTCGTATTTTTCAAAAGCGAATCTCGTTTTCAAAAATTATGTTGCTTATCGTAATCTACACTTGATTCTGTATATAATATGTGAATTCGGGACAATTTCATTGTCTATGGCTACACTAGATCAAAAATAAAAAAGTTTCCAAACTTTTGACCGCTACTGTAGTTTACATATTGCCGGCAAAAGAAGATTGTATGAATAAAAATGAATTTCATAAGAAATCTATCGAATTCTCAAGACTCGGCCTACGATGGGTTGCAATTCCAGATGGTCTTCGCGCCTGTAGAATCGACAATTCTCTTCAAGGAGTGTTCAAACGTCAACTACAGTCGAACAGAAATCTGGTTTTTGACAGCAGTTTCACAGATCCAATAATCTACGATGAGGTAGGCGACAAGTAAGAGATAACAATCACCAATTTGTTAGATGAATGCACTTGTATACATTGAAACGGCTACCGTTCTTCTCATTGAAGATAACGATATCGGCCACATCAATTAGCGAGTTCGGAGACTGTTATGAGAAGATCGGGCAGTCGTATGTGTTTGGGTTAAGGTAGGTTACATTTCATTATATCTGTGGGTAAAACCACTCGAACCTCATTAACGTTGATCCTAAAAGGAACCTTGCGCTATGGGCTTGTAGTTAAGTGCCCTCCCAAAGTTCGATTAGCTCTTCCAATGGAGCAGTTTACCTTCTTAAACGGCTCAGAACAACAAATGAACAACAGTCTGCGAAAGCAAAATCTGGGACGAGTCAAACGACATTTTTCAAATCCAGTTTCCATTTTTCAGCTAGGTGGAAGCAACGTCAGCCGTCATTCGCATTATTCGAACAAGGGGGGGGGGGGTCACATTCGTTGGAGCAACCTAACTGTTTCTGGGAAAAGTGCCAACGGGAATCGTATAAAGGGGTTGCATTTGACGGGTTTTCGATGGTTTTGGCGAAAGTTGCACGAAAGTAGCGTTAATTCCATGAAATTGGTGGTTTTGCTGCTTCATTTTACCGATTTCCACTTTGTCTCTTCACCCCCTCCCCCTCCCACGAGCTCGACGGCCGTTTTGGGAGAGGGGGAAAAGTGAGTGGAGTGTAGTGCGTCAACTGGTCCAGCAGAATTAGATACCTATAAAACACTATGATGGCGAGTTGGCGGTTGGGGTAGGGAAGGGAGCGGGATCGTAGTGGGGGAACTTCGCTGGAACAGGCGTTGGTGGCTGGGGGCGGAGGTCGCATCGAGATCTCCTGAAGGAGTTCTCAAAAGAAAGAACGGTTGGTGCTGGATGCAGGTTCACACATGAATGCTTCTTGTCTTGGTGAAACCCATGAATTTGATAGGTTGATGCCTTTCCAAGCTAAAATATCCACTGAGCAGCAGGGACAGTGAGGGAGGGAGAAGGGAAGGTTATATTACTGAGAAGGAGGTCGTAAGCGCACGCAGGCTGCACTGCACTTTGCAGAAACTGCCTTCTTGGAGGTGTCCAACGCCCTAGAAAACTGCCTTCGTCAGGGAAGTGATGTATCAAAACCCTCGGTCAGGGCGGTTGCTCTCCGCATTCCTGAGGATTGCGTTGAAGCCACCGGCTGCAACTGAACTGCTGCATATTTTATTCGAAAACTGGAAAAGAAATGAGATGAGGAATGGTAAAGTGGAGATAAAGCAAAAGGCACCATGGAAAGCACTTAAAGGAATCTTCCACGGAAAGACTGCTTATCCTTTCCTTGTGTACAGGTGTTGGGCATGGTCATTGAAGACCATATGCAAAGTTCGGAGCGAAAATGATGAAACCCCCAAGAGAAACAGCCCTGGAAAGACCCATCTGTGGGACCGGATTGGACCAGT